TTGTATGCAGCAACATCGCCGGACGCAGATGTCGTTGTTAATGCAGTCAACACGGCAGTCAACAAACTCAAGAAATCAGTCGAACCATCTGCAGACTACTACAAAGCAATTGTTCTTATCTACGCATCGAGCGCTTTATTGACACAACAAAAGATCAACGGTGACAAAGTCAGAGATATTCTCTTTGATGCAACTGAAATCGAGAGTGACGCTGTCAGACAAGCCGCTGCACTTGCACTTGGAAGTATTCCAGACATCATTCCACTCTTACTCACACGCATCGAGAAGAAAACAACATTCTCGTTGTTGAACGCACTGAAAGAGGCACTCAAATATATCAACGCAAACACCGTCGAAGACATCATGAAACGTCTTGTCAAAATCAAAGTCGACGAAGTCTCAACGAATGTCATGAGTGAGTGTTATGGAAAATTACTTGCTTTCGACTTGGAGAAATACATCAAAGCGTTTTACATTCCCGCGTTGATGGACAAGAACGGCAACGGCGCACTTATCGGCTCAATCAAAAATTGTATGGCCAACTGTGACCCGAAAATGTTCATCCCACTCATCCCAATCATCGTCTCACGTCTCGGTGACAAAATCCCCGCAGTCAAAGGCGCACTCTTCACAGTCATTTCATATCTCCTCATTCACGCTCAAAAGGAAATCTTCCCTTACTTACAAACTATTCAAAAACAACTCGTCCCACAAATGTCCGTCGACAAAAACTACGTCTCCGTCGCAAAATTCTCTATCGTCGTCCACATCACCGATTTGGGACTCGAAGCTCGTAAAGCAGTCATGGAATGCCTCTCCGTCCTTATCGATAACTACATCACTGAACTTAACTTTAAAAATATCATCTGCGCTATCGTAAAATCTATCGGAGAACAAAACAATGACCACGACGTCAAATTACTCTGCTTCAATTTGTTACTCAAAATGGCTAACAACAACTCAGACGAACTCATCGAAAATATCGATGAAATCATCCCAGACCTCCGTAAACTCATCAGCTCATCTCTCGACGAGAAAAATAAAGACCAAGACACTCCTAAACAACAAGAAATATCAAAGGCTGTCTGCAGATTTGTCGCTAACGTCGCTTCAAATCCTCTCGCTTTTGTCTCGTCGGCATTTGAAAAGCTTTACCAAGACATCCTTAATTCCCTCAAACTCGGTGCTGTCCTTAAGACTTTCATCTAACTCACTTTATTCCGAATAGTTACTTAATTACTATTTAATAATTATTTAATAATTACTTATACAGTCTGCCAAATCATCTTTCTGCAACGAAACAACCTTCTGCAAATTGTTTTTCAAAAATAGTCATAATTAATAATATTTTAAATTATTGTTTATGTTTTTTTAACTTCAGATAAATATATTTTAAATTTATTTAGAAATTTAGAATTTTTTATTTCTGCAGTCTAAAATTGATCTTTTTCAATACCATAAAATAGCATCCATTTCCAAAATAATTATAACCCAAAATCTGGTATTATAACGTACAAATTTATAAGAGAAAATAAACATTTCAGTAATAAAAAAATGACGTGGGTAATTAAAATTAGGATTGTGAAAACCTATGAATAAAAAAATTTTAATTTAATATAATTACAATATAAAGCTTAAATTTGTCAATGAGTTGATTGTAGCATCATTGTTTGAAAATAAAATTGAAGTTAGACAAACCGGAGTCTAATAGTGCTTTGATATTCGAAACACTTTTGGAATTTTCATAATAACTAATTTCGTTTGTGGAGTGAAATGGTTTTCCGCTTCACCACATAACCTTTTTCACACTTAAAATCGTGGAATATACACAAAATTCCTTATTTTAAGAACATAAATATGGTATTTTTTTGAGTGTGAAAAAAATTTCTTCTTTCATCGCACTCAAAAGAAGCTCTAATTAATTTTTGGTCATTTTTAATAAAATTTGTTCAGAAATATTTTTCATATGTCTTTCTACAATTTGTCCTGTTTTGTGTTTTTCAGTTGAATTTAAATGTAACTATATAACTATCTATACAATTCAGATACAGATGTTTAAATGTATATTCGACTTTGCATTAAAATAACCATTCTTTTATTAATTTAATGTACTAGTCTTGAGTTGTGTCTTCTTTTAGTAATACATACAGTCAAAGGTGTCTATTTGTCGTAAATACAGCAGAAAAAAATTATCTATTTGTCGTAAATGAGTGAATTTTGTAGAAAATTCTTTTAATATTGAAATTAATTATTTACAGGAGGGTAACTGAACATATAAATTTACGATTGAATCATAAACTTATTCTTAATTTACTAAAATTAGCTTTTAATAATCTAAATATGGATGATCAATAATTTTACCCCAAAAATATTAAAAATTGTTGCATCTATTCTGAATCGGCATCCTGAAATAAAATAATAAAAGTAAAAGAAACAAAAATCGATCTGTAAAACTGTATATTCACACGAAAAAAAAACATTCACGTAATTGATTGCGACAATTCGCCGCATCTTTTTTTATAATGCCGACTTCACATCTCAAATATGTGAAATTCGTGAAGTTGATGTTAATGAATACTTGACTGGCAACTTCAATGTTTTTGAAGAAAATATTGGTAAAGAAGAACTCTATCTTGATTTTGGTACAACTTTTTGTCAAGAAGACTTAAAAATTATTGATGATACAAATGATGTAAATATAATATTGTTAACACAAAAAATATCAAAAGAAAAACAAAATATGTAAAAACTTATATGTACCAAATTTGATCATCAAAAGGTTGTAATCATCGTGAAATGAGACAATCAATAATAATTCAATGAATATTTTAATGTTAAATTTAATTTTATTTCATTTGTTATTTTTATTGAATATTTATTATTAATCACCCCCTTTTGATCATGGAACAATAAAAAAAATAACCAATCAATTGGCATTTTCAAAAACATTGTGTTTAGGATTCAGTTGTGTTTTTATATGTTCAGTTACACTCCTATAAAAAAATTGGTTCTTAATTTGACAAAAGTTACATATTCGAGAACCAAATATTTAATTGTCAAACACCGAAATGACTGGTCAGTTGTGCAACAAATAAGTCAGTTCGACACTTAAAATAAAAACAAAAAACACCTTTAACTGTAAATAATTGAAAATAATAATAAAAAAATTTAATAATAAACATATAATTAAAAAATTATAAAAAAAGTAAAAATGTTGTGAATGAAATTATTTGTATTAAATTGTTGGGACCTACATTGACCACCACCACCTTTACCAAAAAAAAATATTTGCCGCGAGTGTTTTTTGAAGGGAATCCATTTTTCAGCCACTGTTTGTGCGTCCCCATGTCACCCACTTTCATTGTCCGTACTGTGTGGACGCGGATGTGGTTCCCCCCGCTTGCGGGGGGGGGTCAGGGGGGGATCCGCGCCAAGGGAGGACTTGGAAAGTGGGTGAAACGGTGCACAAACAGATTGTTTGAGTGCGTCTTTATAAGCCTTCTTTCCAATGCTCCGTCTTTCTCGGTTTCCACTGACTCGAGGTGAATTATCGGCATTTTTTGAATTCGGGAACCAGACCTAGAATTATCCCAGTTTCCTATTTACTATAATTTTAATTTGAATATGATTCGAAATAGAAAAAATAAATCTATTTTAAGAGGTGGTGGTGGTAAATGTATATCCCTAAATTGTGTAATAAATAAAAAAATTTCAAGAAATAAAACATATAATATAAAAACTAAATAAATTTATTTGAAATAGTCTATTTTCACATGTTTCTACTTTCGGTAGGTTCATATCAAGTAGGATACACCCGTTCCCATCTGAACACGGAAGTAAAGATGCTTAGAGCCTGTTTAGTACCATTATGTTCACACAGATGGGAACGTCAGGTAATCTACCTTTTTAAGTTTTAGTTGTTCTATTTTTAGAACATGTATATATTACAATATGTTATATAACCCATGCAAAAGACGCGCTTTTTGAGCTTTTTATTATTTTATTAAAATGATATGAACATGAGTTGTTATGTATTGAGATTATTATACGATGTTCATATCATGCCAACATATTTATAATATACAATTCAGAATGAACATTGATATATAATATTATGATAGTCATAACTGTTTTATTATCACTCGTTATTCATTTCATTCATATATTCGATTTTTTATGCTTTTCTTTTCAGATAGTCTATCTTCTCATGTTTCTACTTTCGGTAGGTTCATATCAAGTAGGATACACCCGTTCCCATCTGAACACGGAAGTAAAGATGCTTAGAGCCTGTTTAGTACCATTATGTTCACACAGATGGGAACGTCAGGTAATCTACCTTTTTAAGTTTTAGTTGTTCTATTTTTAGAACATGTATATATTACAATATGTTATATAACCCATGCAAAAGACGCGCTTTTTGAGCTTTTTATTATTTTATTAAAATGATATGAACATGAGTTGTTATGTATTGAGATTATTATACGATGTTCATATCATGCCAACATATTTATAATATACAATTCAGAATGAACATTGATATATAATATTATGATAGTCATAACTGTTTTATTATCACTCGTTATTCATTTCATTCATATATTCGATTTTTTATGCTTTTCTTTTCAGATAGTCTATCTTCTCATGTTTCTACTTTCGGTAGGTTCATATCAAGTAGGATACACCCGTTCCCATCTGAACACGGAAGTAAAGATGCTTAGAGCCTGTTTAGTACCATTATGTTCACACAGATGGGAACGTCAGGTAATCTACCTTTTTAAGTTTTAGTTGTTCTATTTTTAGAACATGTATATATTACAATATGTTATATAACCCATGCAAAAGACGCGCTTTTTGAGCTTTTTATTATTTTATTAAAATGATATGAACATGAGTTGTTATGTATTGAGATTATTATACGATGTTCATATCATGCCAACATATTTATAATATACAATTCAGAATGAACATTGATATATAATATTATGATAGTCATAACTGTTTTATTATCACTCGTTATTCATTTCATTCATATATTCGATTTTTTATGCTTTTCTTTTCAGATAGTCTATCTTCTCATGTTTCTACTTTCGGTAGGTTCATATCAAGTAGGATACACCCGTTCCCATCTGAACACGGAAGTAAAGATGCTAGAGCCTGTTTAGTACCATTATGTTCACACAGATGGGAACGTCAGGTAATCTACCTTTTAAGTTTTAGTGTTCTATTTTTAGACCATGTATATATTACAATATGTTATATAACCCATGCAAAAGACGCGCTTTTTGAGCTTTTTATTATTTTATTAAAATGATATGAACATGAGTTGTTATGTATTGAGATTATTATACGATGTTCATATCATGCCAACATATTTATAATATACAATTCAGAATGAACATTGATATATAATATTATGATAGTCATAACTGTTTTATTATCACTCGTTATTCATTTCATTCATATATTCGATTTTTTATGCTTTTCTTTTCAGATAGTCTATCTTCTCATGTTTCTACTTTCGGTAGGTTCATATCAAGTAGGATACACCCGTTCCCATCTGAACACGGAAGTAAAGATGCTTAGAGCCTGTTTAGTACCATTATGTTCACACAGATGGGAACGTCAGGTAATCTACCTTTTTAAGTTTTAGTTGTTCTATTTTTAGAACATGTATATATTACAATATGTTATATAACCCATGCAAAAGACGCGCTTTTTGAGCTTTTTATTATTTTATTAAAATGATATGAACATGAGTTGTTATGTATTGAGATTATTATACGATGTTCATATCATGCCAACATATTTATAATATACAATTCAGAATGAACATTGATATATAATATTATGATAGTCATAACTGTTTTATTATCACTCGTTATTCATTTCATTCATATATTCGATTTTTTATGCTTTTCTTTTCAGATAGTCTATCTTCTCATGTTTC